CACATAATAAGCAAAAGTCTTAGGACTAAGAAATCGTAGGGGCCAGCTGATGCTTGCTTCTTTTTTATAGAATGAATAAAGTGCATTAAACTAATATTTATTCTTAAACTCGAATGAATGAAGAAAAAGTATGAACAAAATGTCTTTCAGCTTTATTTCATAAAAGTTCATCCCCATTTTCCTTTTATGATTATTAAAAAATACATTTAAAAGTGATTGATCTGTAAAAATGTATAACATTAAAACAACACTTAGAAAAAAATGAAGTATAAAATTGATAAGGAAAATACAAACTCTTTGATAGTTAGCTTACAAAAATAAAGAATAAATTAGAAAATTGTCAATGTTTATACTAGCTGTACTTCTTGACTTTCAGCATTAAGTAATAACAAAAATCTGGCTTTCACTCAAAGAGGAACGCAAAAGTTTAACATCCCAACACACATATTTAAACTTAAGATGTAAACATTTGAAACTACAATTTAATAATTTTCCATACAAGTAAAATGGGGATGAATTGCTCCAGGCAATTTATGACTTATTTTTGCATTTTCAATGTTTAAAAGTTTGAAGACACTTTTATTTCTTCTTAATCTCATTTCTTTTCCTTTTTTTTAAAAGTATTTTATGTCGTTAACATGTTCAAAAAAAATATTAAACATATTGTCTTCGAAAACAAATGTATAAAATTAATTTTAGGGAATTTTTGATCACGGTCCATTATGCTTGTCACTCTTCTGTAAATAAGGGTTGTACTAAACAGCTACGTCATTATTTTCTGTAAAGGAAGCAATTTAAGAAAGCCATTCGAAAGTCTATAAGAAAAAATAGTTTTCTAAACTATCAAAGAATCTAAGATTTCCTACTTGTAAAAGAAACTCTCAAAGTAGGATTATATTACGCTTCCTTGAATCCGCATGTACTTGGTCAGAAGTGTATAAGGTTTGAACCCCCTTCAACAAAAAAAGTTAGATTTAAGAGAAAAACATAAGTTTTTTTAACATAGCTAAATGTTTATTTACAATTATTGTGATTTATTAATTTACTGAGTTTGAAGTAATTAAGTAAAAAAAAGCATATAATATGGTCTGTATATGTACTAAATTCACATGAAATAGCCAACTATTTTAATTTTCATTTTACGTTTTGATTTTTTCAGTTATATTAAAGTTATAAAACAAAATAAATAATTCACATTTCATTGATGCCTAAATGTAGAATTTATCTAGGAAAATATTTCTACAAATTTTATTGAGAAAACACTTATAAATGGATTAACAATTATCTTGCATAACTTTTCTTTAATAATAAGTAACTAGTGAATGTCTAGGAAAAAATATTTTAAAGCAAATAATCAATACTTGCTGTAAGCTACAAATTATAGAATGTATACGAGTATATAGTAAACATTTAAGAGAGTGAAATGTACAAAGGTTTTTAACATAGTACCTGATGGATCGCTGATCAAAGACAAAATTACAAATGCTTACCTAATAAATAACTCCGTACATAAAAGAGCAGATTTATGAAAAATAAAGTAAAAAAAAAATAGCGTATTATGCCAGTGAGTATCTCTAAAAAGAATTGATCAAACTGAATAGTTTCTATTATATTTCCGGTTCTCCTACTCTGAATTCTTATTCATAAACTAATATTTTGTGCTATTACCTAAACTCTAAGCACATTTTAAATTTTTTATTGTTCGAATTCAAGATCATATTGTATTTTTTAATTTCATTAATTTGATTCAAGAAACATAACGTGTGATTGTTTATAACAAACTAACTTTTAACAGATAATAGCCATGCCCCACAATTTTGATGTATAACCCTTATGCTTCAGTCATTCTTCATACACATTTAAAAGGTATTTTAGAAATTAAAATGCTTCTTAACTTAATCATAACTGTTTATATTAACTGTTTGGCCAGATGCTACATATGGTATGCATATAATAATAGTAAACTGTCAGTTAAAACATTAAATTGTAATTAAATAAGACATCTAGTTTTACACAAATATTCAAAAGCATTTTTTCTCCGTAAAGTCACTGTAAGGTTTCACTGTCAATATCCTTTAGAGCTGATTATTGGCCCCTAAATAGCCACATTGAACCACTAATATGTGAAACGAATAAAAAGTGTGTGTGTGTTTTGAATCCGGTTATGTGCACCTACAATATAAAAAGCTCAGTGAAATAAACGTTTTGATCTTTGAATATGAAATCAAAATATGGTAATTATTTTAATAAATCAAGAGTTATACCATATATAAATTATATTTAAATAAAACCAAAATCCAAAATATTACTAATTCAATGAAACGATAACTGTAAAGAAAAGTTTAATTTGTTTTTTTATTATTCTACATTTTTATATAAAAGAAAATTATTGCAAAGGGTGAATGAATTTTAGAGTTCTTGAAAATCATTCCTCTATCTTGAGTCATAATACATTATCACTGATTGCCTATTATTGATTATAAAAATAACAATATTCAATAAGTTTGTATCTATTTTATCTTGCTTCATCTTAGATTAATTGTTGGGATTCTAATAAAATAGAAACAGAAAATAAGAATAACATAAGCATCCACTTTTGTACTGAATATTTGAATGCATCTTATATGAGCAAAACGTTTTATATGATAAGTTCATGGACATCCAAAATGTAACACAAAAAAAATTACTGTTTAAAAAAACTAAAAAGCACGCTTTTATAGTAAATCGAATAAAAAGTTAAAAAAAAATCTTAATATAAGAATAAAATGATTAACGAGAAAACTAATGTCATTAGGGTAAAAGAGTGGGGTACTATATATTAATTGTTATAATTTCTTACAAGTTCTGTTCCGAAATGCTGAGTTAATGTAAAATTGTAGTACAAAGCACACGCCACGCTTTTACCCCAATGACATTAATTTTCTCGTTAATCATTTTATTCTTATATTAAGAATTTTTTTTTTAACTTTTTAGTTCGATTCACTATAAAAGAGTGTTTTTTTAATTTTCTTAAACTGTAATTTATTTTTCATTTTTTAGTTCAATCTACAATAAAAGCCTGTTTTTTAGTTTTTAAAACTATCATTTATTCTTTGTTGAATTTATCACACTAATAAAAGTATGTAAGAAGAAATATTAAATGCCAATCTTATTATCACCTTTTTAAAAATATTGTTATAACGTTATTCGCGCATCATCATTTCTAAACACATTGCTTTATCAAAATAAAAAATAAAAAATATTTAGCAGTTAGAATTCACATGCACGAGTCTTTTTTTTTTTTAATTCCATTTTCAGAAAAATTACGCATCCACCCACCCTTATTTTTTTCACATAAAGGAGACTTTTTTTGTTTTATTTTTTATAAACCAGAAGCCTGTTTTGCGGTTTTAGGGTTGCACCTTAATCTTTATTTGCTAAATCTGAAATTAGTCGCTAAATCTAAAAATGGTATATGGGATTAGTCGTCAAATCTCGGACATCCATAAATCCTTAATTATTAAAATCCTGATCAAGACAATGAAACAGAATTATGAAATTGTTGTGTTGTCGTTGGTCCTTGACAAGTGTGCGGAATTTCGAATTAATCTGACCTTTTAATGTGGGTAAAAATGGAGTTCAAAGATTCAATTACATATGAAACTTATGAAGGAAACTTATAAAAACATGTTATATAACAACATACACTCATGGACAAAAAATTAGCGCACCAAGAAATAATTGTGGGTTCGTAACGAAATTTGGCATGAAGCTACATGTTGGGGGGAAACGATTAGAAATTTGGGGGATTGCGCATTACGTATTACTAGTAGGGGGTTTTAAAGTCGTTTCCCCGGAACCAAAAAAAGGGAAAAAAAGCTTGTTTGAGGTTGGGAAACAAAAAAGAGTTGAGGTAGACATGTCATTACACCGTTTTTCCATGACAATATGAGCAACTGTCGCAGTTTGAGAGGGGAAGAATCATCGGCATGATAGAAGCTGGGGGTCAGCTAGGTGAGTAGCTCGTCAATTTGGTCGCTCTGATTGTGTAGTGAGGAAGTTTTGGGGGACCAGAGAGAGTGGATTCGAGAGATGTCATTTACACGGAGATCAGACTCAGGACGCCCACGACAGAACAGTCGTAGAGAAGACCGCCACATTGTAAAAATTGCCAGCGTACAACCAACTGCTTCATCGGCAGCCATCCAGGCACAGGTAGCACCTTCAATAGGGGCCTCTGTGTCTTCTCGAACCATACGAAGGCGCCTGGTTGAAGGACATTTGGGATCGCGGCGCCCATTACGCGTATTGTCCTTGATGCTCACATCGACGCCTCCACTTAGAGTGGTGCCGTGAACGAGGAAACTGGACTGCAGTGGAATGGAACCGGGTCGTCTAAAGCGACGAATCCAGATTCAATCTTAGCAGTGATGACAGTCGTGTTCGTGTGTGGAGACTCCGTGGTGAACATCTCAATCCTGCCTTTGCTTTACAACGACACACCGCTCCCACAGCTGGTGTGATGGTATGGGGTGTCATTGCCTACAATACATGGTCATCCCTGGTATTGATCCGTGGCGCCATGACAGCCCAGCGGTATGTCCATGACATCCTGCAACCACATATGTTGTCACTCATGCAACGGCTCCCAGGAGCCATTTTTCAACAAGACATTGCTCGGCCTCGATTTTATGTATATAAAATTTAAGCTCAATGGAGCGCTTTAAAATGTATTTTACTAACGATTGAAAATTTGAATACGATAGAGATTGGGAACTAATAGTAGAAATTGAATTAATACATTTGAAATCCATTGTTACGTTAAAAAAATTAAAATGAGAGAGATTTTAATTGTGAAAGGATTTAGAGTATAATTATAGAAATTTTTTAGAATTTAACTTTTTAGGCAAGTACATACAGTTTTTTCAAGTATTAATTCATTGATTAAATTAAAAAGTGAAAATAGTAACAAACAAATAATAATTCAACAGCATATATAGAAAGAAAACACGTCCGTTTTGTCCCTGTAACACAATGGATAGCGCATTGGACTTCTTATCCAAAGATCATGGGTTTGAATCCCACCGGGAAAAGCTTAATATCTGAGACTGAGGTTTCTTTTTTACTATACTACTTTATTAAAGTAATTAAATTTAATCAATGAATAAAAGCAACAAACGCGAAAAAAAATAGTCCAACAACCTATATAGAAAGGAAAATTGGAAATTGCAAGGAAATCGTTTTCTATATTGCCACTTAATAGTGGGATTCTGTCATATGTATATACATATTTATATTAATTATAACTATTTAAATAAACTGTAACTAGAATTTCTCTCTGTTGACCTGACTAGGAATTGACTTATTTTTTTATATTACTTGTTTTAATTATTGTTGATAATATAAAGTTATCAATACCAAAATCTTTACAGGTTTCCTTTTTTGATCAAAAGCCGTAAAAGTTTTGCTTCATTTTAAGCAAAATAGAAGTTTGCTTTCTTCCTCATCTCCTTACCATTGTGCTGGTAAAAAATTTTTCAAAGTAGAATGAAAGAAAAACGCCGACTAAACTCACTGATTTTAATCACAATGCGGTGTACTCGTCACCGAAATCAAAAACTAACTCATGAGAGTTGAGATGTTTTTGCATAGTGTTTGTAAGTGTGGAGGGTGAAATTAGCTTAGATAAACAAAATTGGCTCGTGTCACAGGTTATTCCGAGAATATTTGTAAGTCAAGTTCATCCTCATTTCTACGAAATATGTGGAACCACTTCTCTTTTATTTCACACTCCTTCTAAATCTGCCTGCATGCCTAATGTTTTCTTTCCGTATTTTGTTCATTACCAGAAGAGAAATCTTTTCATGTTAAGAGGGAAAAAAGTATACACACAAATACATAGTTTGTCGGGACCATTGTATTATTTCGTGTTAACCAATATTTCACCTTAGGCCATTGTTTCTCAAACCGTAGGTTGCGTCCCCTAGGGGGGGTTGATAACCTTACAAGGGGTGCAAGCATAGTGAAAAGTCAAAAGCAAAAGACTATTTAAAAAAATCATTAATTTTCTGAGAGCAAAACAAATATAAAAATAATAAAATACATATTTACACTGATATAAAACACTTATAGTTATATCAGTACTGCTCAATGAATTTTATAATTAATTTAACAGTATTATATATATATATAACTTAAGAACAAGCTAAATAATTACCAGTATCTCCATAGGCTTTTCATATATAAAATTAAAAGCAAAAATTAACACTTATTTTGATAATTTATATTGTTTATTATCAATTCCCTAAAAGCCGATTAAAAATTACGCGATTCGCTCCTCAATACCACCATTTAACAGGAGGGTGAATGTATCTGGTGCATTGAGATAGGGGACAGAAAAGGAATAAATAAGCAAATCCTCTGAAATAAGTAAATCCTTCCAAGGACTGTCAAATTCATTTTATTGCATGCCAAAACCTTCGGAATAATTTTATGGATTGCAGTGCACACAGAAAAGATCGCACGTAGTAAAAACGTATATATACGTTCGGGACAATTAACACACTGGCTGAGCGAGACGTTTATACACGCCGGTGGCACTTAAGGGTTTAAAGTCGTACTGTAGGTTTAGCTTAAAAGTATGTTATTGTATGAAAGCGGGCGCGATTAAAATTATGAGTGAATATTGGGTCGCAAATATTGAAAGTTTGAGAAGCACTGGCTTTAGGCGTTTTCATGTTAAACGTATTTCACTGTTTTTAATGTAAAACTTATAACTTTAATAAACACTACTTCAGATATCACAATGTTTTATTTATGCCTTAAAAATCAGTCCACATTGACCATTCAGGACATCAAAGTTAAAATTATAATTTTTCTCTAATGGATTGTAATAGTTTTTTTCAATTGAGAGCTCATTACCAAGTTTTTGGTATAAAAAAGAAATAAATGGACCCGGTAAGATAAGAATTACTGCTGTAAATATAGTTAAATTTAACCTGGTGTAGTGGTGGATGGTGTATGCTGAAAACTGAAGAATTAGTCTGTTTATTAAAATATATTAGAAATTTCATAATACTCTATTCCTTTTAAAATTCATTTTCACTATTTTAGTGTATATATTGATATACTGTTTTAATTCCTACTATTAGAGCTCCCACTCTCTATATATTTATGTATTTATTTATCTTGGTGAAATTTTCAATCGTAAATGAAATACATTTGAAAGCGCTCAATTAAGCTGAAATTTTATATGCATGATTATTTTGGTTGACAACACAGTAATTTAATTATAATTAATAAAAATTAATTTATTAAAACTAATTATTTAAATAATTACAAATACAGCCACGTTGACATCATTTTTGGCGACTTGGGTCAAAGCTTGAAAAGGTTTTTCTCGCGTTGTAAAGAGATTTTCACGATTGTTTTGGATGGGAACACAATACTTTAATGATAATTAATAAAAATTAATTATCACTTAATGTTGTGATTCTGTTATATGTATATACATATTTATATTAATTGAAACTATTTAATAAAAAGTAGCTAAAATAAAATTTTACTTTGTTGATCTAAGTAGGAATTGACTTATGAAATTTATTTTATATCACTTGTGTTTTTTTTCCCATCTGGTTAAAATACGACTTACATATTATCACACTTTTTAACTATCAAATTAATACCTTCAAATAAAAATAATTCATAAAAGTAAAATACTTGTAACTTAAAATAATTACAAAAATCTTTGTACCTAAATTCATAAACATATGAAAATTCAGGCAAAACATTCTTTTTCGTGTTTAGATTGTCATACATTTCATAGATCGTAGGAGACTTTTATAGTCGACAAAGGGATAAAAGTTTCCTGATTTGTTACATTCTTTTCGTCTGGTGCAACACGAAAACAAGAAACTTCCTAACAAAACCATAGATATCTCTAAACTCCCATGCGTCAAACATAGTTTCAAAAAATGGATGACAAAACAAATAATTCAAGAATATTTTGTCTAGTAAATGTAAAGGAATACCTATAATATGTGTGGAAAAACATATACAATATGTAATATCTCATATAAATGCATACATATTTGCAAAAGTTGTAAATCATATACACATTAATTGTTATTCTTGATATATTGTTTGCTTTTCTGCAGATGAAAATTGGCTTTGGAAGTAAAAATGAAAATTCTTCCGTGAGATGAGGGAGAAATGTTGTGGGATTGAAATCCGTCACTTGTTATTTCTATTATCCTTTCTTAAAGAAATTGGCTTTCAAAATAATTTCGGCGCGTACAACAAATACCTTATTGGCAATACATAAGAGGAATAATGCACAATCAATTGAGATATAGCGTTCATTTTTATTTGCAGTTTTATAAAATTAAGTGATATATAGGTATAAAATATAAAAATGAGAAACATAGAATAGTTGGTTTTATTTTTCTATGCATTCATGAGTTTTTGTCCCCTGATTCGCAAAGAGTCGAGTGTATAAGAACATTTTTGTTATCTTAATTATAAAAGAAATGTGACTCTCTCTCATTCATTACGATATGAAAGAAAGAATTTTACCTACAGACTTGTAATTTGGAAAACATATCTCTTTTGTTAAAAAAAAACATGTTTACCGAAATTCGACTCCAAGGGGAGGTTACCTGGATCGTTCTAGATAAATATTCCCGATTTTGAAATTTTAGACTTAAAGAATGGAAGTTAAGAGGACATGTTTATCCCAATGAGTAGTGGCTGCGGTAGCCAAGTGAGATAGGTATCGGACCGTGGCTTGCCATGTCACGAGTTCGAGCCCAGTATCACTAAAGACGCGCCGTGTAAGGCAGCGATGCACGTTAAATCTGTCGAGAGCTGAAACGTCCTCCCGTTGGTGTGGTGTGGTAGTTAGGAGAGGGGGGTGCCAGCTCAGGTGTCATCCACGTCACTTTACCATGGTTCAAAATTATGTGGTCCGTCGCCAAAAGCCCTCGTGTTCCTGAACAGTGCGACGTTAATATTCAATCATTCATTCAGTCAATCAATCAATCCCAATGAGTAGATATCAATGAAAAACGGGTTACGCGGAATTTCTGCTCCCAAGGAATCTGGGGTTGTTTGAACTTTGACAAGGATGTTTCTTTTGTGAAACAGAGTTCGGTTAAGAACAGAATTGTTTGTCTTACACTGTGGTGTAATGAATATTTAGATATTTGTTTTAGGCAAAATAAAAACGTTAATTGACTTGACAAATGAACCTAGTAAATACCAAATTATTCAGCTTTAATTTGCTTTATGGTTTCATTTATTCAATTGCTCTCTTCTAGAAGTTTAATTTTAGATTCACTTAAAATTATTAAAAATATTAAATTTTGACCTCATTAATTTTACTTCCTCTTTCTATCTCGATTTTAATATTTTTTTCAATTTACAACAGTGCTAAGAATAGATATAACCGCTAGTAAGTGATATAAAAAAAAGCAATTATGTTATATCAAAATTCTGTTTTGAAATAAAAATCCATTTCAAAATCTCTAAGCATCTGAAATTTCAAAGGAACAAGACATCGAAATGTACGATCAATCAGAGTCAAATAAAACCGGGTGTTTGAATCTTAACCTTCGGATGGAACAATCAATATTTCAACTGAAAGAAATAGCATCTTAAGATTGTTTAAAGGTTTTCCCAAAATTTTAAAAAAAGTTTTAAATTTAAAAGAAGAAACACATTATCAGACCAAAAAAATGCCCCTCCCTCTCAAGTCTAGAAAATGTTTAATATTTAAGTAAAACATCATCATCGGGGGTTCTTCATTTCAAAGCATTAAAGAAAAGTTCAGTGATCACTTAAAATTTTAAATTTAAAACTCATTACATTATGGGAGACCATACATGGAATTTTTTATACCAATTTCGTATTCTTAAAAAAATGAGAAATGATAAAAATAATTTTTTTTTAGAAAAACCGGTTTTAGTATAAAAATTTTTGGATCACATTACTTATTGAAAGAACATACCAACCTATATAGGGTATATTATTTAAAATTAGGAAAATAGCTTTAAAAGAAGGGATTATGGTGAAAAAATCAAACGACGATTTCATT